GGGGGGAGGGACTGTTTTGCTGTCAATAGTCTTCCTCTGTCTATCCTCTTTTTTGCCTTGGTTTCCCTCCAGTTTCACTTTTCCAGCTCTTTCTCCAGTGTCCCTCTCCCCTGGGGTTCAGCTTATGGATTCCCTATTCTTTCTTCCATCTCCAGGAAATAAGCTTGGCACTTTGGGAAAGCCCCCACTCAAAAGAGACACCCTGGGCTTTGTTTGCCTGGGGACGGGGGGGGGGGAGCCCCCCTGGCCGGGACTACAGTGCATCTTCCCCTTCCCCTCCGGGTAGGGCCCACGCGGCCCACAGCCCCCTCGGCCCCACAGGCCAGTGCTGAGCAGAGGAGGAGGAGGACAGCCTCCAGACTCCGGCCTTCTTGCTGCCGGGTTTCAGGGCTTCAGGTCTGCCTCTGGGCCGGAGCCCCCATCTCTCAAGTGGTCCTCACGAAGATGAGCAGGGTGACGGAGAGGGTCTGAGGCTACCCCACAAAGCGTGGAGCTGTGTGGAGGGCCCCAGCACATGGGGGGGGCCTTTGAGTGAGGTCTAGCTACTTCCCTTCCTGGCTCGGGGTCCTGTGCAGTGCCATCCCCGTGGTGTACCCCCAGAGGTTGGGGAACAGAGTGGCCAGAGGAGCAGCAGCCTAGAGGGACAGGGCATCACTGATTTGTAGGTACGGAGCATCAGTCTCGGGGGTGACAACAGCTTCCTCTTCAGAGGACTAAATATAGGAGGCAACAGCCACAACATGGACACCTTCACGACAGAGATGAACAGTCATTCAACGAACCCCGCCGGTGCTTGCCTGTGCTGGCTGCTGCCGAGCCAGAGATGTCTGTCAGGCCTCTCCTTGAGGGATCCCCTAACTCAGATGAGTCACCCCCTCACAAAAGGGCAAGCAGTGCTCGTACCAATGTCGCAATGTCACAGTCAACCCGAGAAGGCTCTAAGGCCAGGCAGCCAGGCCTTCAGCTGGTGGTGTGTATTTTACTGACGTTTATTGAGCATGCGCAACATACCAGGCAGCCACTGAGGCTGTTACATGTACTGGGTCATTTCATCTCCATTGTAAAGGAAAGACAAAGCCCAGAGAGGCCAAGCAAGTGGTTCTATGTCACACAGCCAGCAAGAAGCTAGCCTGGGATTTAATCCAGAGTCTCTCCTCCTCAGAGCTCAAGGTCTCATCAAGAGACCAGGGCAAAGCCAGGTTGGCTATTTCCAAAACAAACAAAAAACAACAACAACAAGCATTTGTCGGGTTTAAGAAAGGAGGAAGGAGCTGGCTGTCAGTGGCTTATGCGTACTCAAGAGACTGAGAACTGACGATCGCGGTTCAAAGCCAGCCTGGGCAGGAAAGTCCAGGAGACTCTTATCTCCAATAAACTACTCAGAAAAAATCCAGCATGGGGCTGAGAAGGTGGCTCAGTGGTAGAGCGCTTGCCTTGCATGCATGAGGCCCTGGGTTCGATTCCTCAGTACCACATAAGCAGGAAAAAAAAAAGCCAGAAGTGGTGCTATGGCTCAAGTGGTAGAGCGCTAGCCTTGAGCTTAAGAGCTGAGGGACAGCGCCCAGGCCCAGAGTTCAGGCCCATGACCAGACCCAAAAAAGAAAAAAAAAGAAAAAGCCAGCAGTGGTGCTGTGGCTCAAGCTGTGGAGTGCAGTGAGCAAAAGAAGTCAGAGACAGCACCCAAGCCCAGAGTTCAAGCCCCAGGGGAAAAGTAAAAAATGGGTGGGGAGGAAGGGTAAGAGTAGCTCAGTGGGAGAGTTGCTTGCCCAGCATTCTTTTTTTTTTTTTTTTTTTTTTGTCGATCATGGGGCTTGAACTTGGCCTGGGCGCTATCCTTCAGCTCTTTAGCTGAAGTGCTCTACCACTTGAACCACAGTGCTACTTCCAGTTTTCTGGTGGTTTATTGGGGATAAGAGTCTCACGGAGCTGGGCGCTGGTGGCTCATACCTGTAATCCTAGCTACTCAGGAGGTTGAGATCTGAGGATCTGAGATCCTGAGGATCCTGCAACTCTTTATCTCCAATAAACCACCAGAAAACCGGAAGGGCACTGTGGCTCAAGTGGTAGAGTGCTAGCCTTGAGCTGAAGAGCTGAGGGATAGCACCCAGGCTGAGTTCAAGCCCCACAACTCACCCCCCCAAAAAAAAAAAAAAGTCTCATGGACTTTTCCTGCCTGGGCTGGCTTTGAACTGCAATCCTCAGATCTCAGCCTCCTGAATAGCTAGGATTACAGGCATGAGCCATCAGCGCCTGGCAATTACCTAGCATTCTTGATGCCCTGGATGTAATTCCATACACAAAGAAGGCAGGAGGGGCTGGGAAGGTGGCTCAGTCGTAGAGTGCTTGCCTTGCATGCATTGAGGCCCTGGGTTTGATTCCTCAGTACCACATAAGCAGAAAAAGCCAGAAGTGGCACTGTGGCTCAAGTGGTAGAGCACTAGCCTTGAGCTGAAGAGCTGAGGGACAGCGCCCAGGCCCAGAGTTCAGGCCCCACGACAGACCAAAAAAGAGAGAAAAATAAAAAAAAAAAAGGGCAGGAGACAGGGACTGGACAAAGTTCCCCATCAAAGACAACATGCACGTGGCATGTTGGTAATAAGAGCATTCGCTGGGATATTCCTTTACTTAAGTTAGAAAATGAAGCCTGGCGCCTGTGGCTCTCACCTGCAATCCTAGCGACTAAGGAGGCTGAAAAGTCTGTGAGACTGCTTCTTCAATTAACCAGCACACTGCCAGATTGGAGGTGTGACTCAAGTGCTAGAGCACCAGCTGTGAGCAAGTAAGCTGAGCAAGCCCCAGTACTGACACCAAATAAGTTCAGAAGGTTAGTGGCATTAATTCCAAAACAGGCTCACTGTATTGAAATGGGAAAAACAAAATAAATTTAAAATGAGACTAACAAGAAATAAAATGGAGATACTGAATGAAATAAAATAAAATGGGAAGCCTAATTAGGTCCTAACGAGGTGCACGCAGAGGCGGTGTATCCCCTAAGAATCCTGACAGGTGACAAGACATACAAGGTCATGCATGTTGGGGAATAAGGTATATGTAACAGCCCAGTGAGAGAGCAAACAAGTGTAATCTCAGCCCTCAGGAGGCTGAGGCAGCTTTACATGTTTGAGGACAAACTGAGGATCAAGGTTTGAAGCTAGATCAGGCAAGAAAGTCCACGAGACTCTTATCTTTAATTAACTACCAGAAAACCAGAAGTTGGGTAGCGACTCAAAGTGGTAGAGCACTAGTCTTGAGCAAAAAAACTCAGGGACAGCGCCTAGGAACTGAGTTCAAGCCCTGGGACCAAAAAAAAAAAATTTTTTTTTGAGGAAAGCCTGAGCTATGCAAGAGACCATGTCTCAAAAAAGCCAAAACAGAAAGAAAGAAAGAAAAGAAAGAAAGAAAAAGAGAGAGAAAGAAAGAAAAGAAAGAGAGAAAGAAAGAGAGAGAAGGAAAGAAAAAGAAAGAGAGAGAGAGAAAGGAAGGAAGGGAGAGAGAGAAAGAAAGGAAAGAAAGAAAGAAAGGAAGGGAGAGAGAGAAAGAAAGAAAAAGAAAGGAAGGAAGGAAGGAAGGAAGGGAGAGAGAGAAAGAAAGGAAAGAAAGAAAGGAAGGGAGAGAAAGAAAGAAAGGAAGGAAGGGAGAGAGAAAGAAAAGAAAGAAGGAAAGAAAGGAAGGGAGAGAGAGAAAGAAAGAAAGGAAAGAAAGGAAGGAAGGGAGAGAGAGAGAAAGAAAGGAAGGGAGAGAGAGAGAAAGAAAGAAAAGAAAGAAAGCGAGCTGAGTGTCAGTAGCTCCTACCTATATAATCCTCAATAGTCAGGAGGCTAAGATATGAAAATCTTGGTTTAGAGCCAGCCCAAGCAGACAAATTCTTTTGTCCTATTAACCAGCGAAAGACCAGAAGTGAAGAGTGACTCAAGTGACAGGATCAGCCTTGAGCGAAAAAGCCAAGAGAGAATATAAGGTTCATGCCCTGGTACCAGCAAACACACACACACACACACACACACACACACGTATACAACAGTGTAGGTAGAATTTGAATATACTTAGTCAAAGTAAGTTATGACTATAAATAAAATTCTTGTACATTCTAGTTTTGTTTTTCTTTTAAGTTCAAGCCAGGAGTGGTGTCATATGCCTTTAATCCCAGCACTCAGAAGGCTGTAGTGGGAGGATTCAGAATGTGAGTCCAACCAGGACTATTTGAGAGGCAGAGATTGGAGGATCATGCTTTGAGGCCAGACTTGAACCCAAAAGTTCATGAGACTCCATCTCAATGACTGAGTGTAGTGGCACATGCCTGTCCTCTCCAGAAACATGAGGAGGCACAAGCAGGAGGTTCACAGCCCAGGCCTGGGACTTAAGTGAGACCCTACTTTAAAACAACAATAACAACAGCAAAGCAGCAAAAGGGGCTGGAGGTATGTGGAGCTCAAAAAGGCCCCCAAAAAAGCCAACTCAAGGCTCTGAGTTCAATTTAAAAATATATATATATATATATTATAGATAAATAGATATAGATCTGTCTATCTATCTATCGATCTATCTATCTCAAAACCAAAACCAAAGCAGAACAACAAACAAACAGTTCAATAGGAGGAGGCAGACATAAGACTATATAGTTGACTTGCTTATCTAGAAAAATCCCTCCATCCAAAATGAGGTACTTTTGTGTGTGACTTGCTTTTTTCTTCAAATGAAAAGCTGTGTGTAGGGGGAAGTTCTGCACAGCGGTGGCCCCTGCGAGCCCCCCTCCCCATTCCCGGGTCTGGGAGGTGACTGATCTGAGGACAGAGACCTCCCTGTCCCTCTCTGTCCCCAACGCAGTAGTGGGGCCTGGCTTGAGGGCCTGCAGTCGACGGATGAACAAAGAAGCATGCGTTGCTCTGGTTGGGTGTAGGGCTCAGCAAATGGGCCCAGAAGGACCAGACCTGGAGACGGGGCGGGGCTGCCCCCGCCTGTGTGGACAGCTCTGGCCTTCTGGGTTAGGACCCCCGCCCAGCATGGCGGCCAAGCCACCGGGGCCAGAGGCTGTCTCGTCCAGCGTACCCCTGGTTGCTGATCTGGGCAATGTATGGCCTGCCATTGATGGTGGCATTCGGTGCCACTGTGGGAAGCCCACTTGAGGTGTTCAGTCTGCTCACCTGCTTGCTTCCTGCCCTATCTTCTTTCTCCACCTTCTGGAAGAGTGGAAGGCCAGGCCGGAGCAGCCTGGGCCCTGGGCCTTCCATCCGTATCCCTTCCTTCACACTGGCCATCTTAACTCCGCTCACAGATTTAGGCCAGGCTGGGGCCGTGCCCGGCCAGGGCCTAGGAAAGGAAGCCATTCAACGAGAGAGGTGCCCGGCCTCAGGTCTGGTGGGGGAGCAGACCATAAATCAGGTCCCACTCCCACCCCGCCGCTAACAAGCCGGCTGCCTTCCCGCCTACCTGGGGTCCCTGCCTCGGGCTCCCACGGCGGCCTGGACAGCCAGCTGGCCAAGGCCTACACGGTGCCTCGGCCTCCGCCCCCATCCACAGCCCCCAGATAGATAGGGGCATTTTTTTTTCTTTTAGAAGAGAAAAAAAAATAGACCTAAATGAAGAGAAACACCAACAAAGGAGGAGAGAGGCCTGCGGAGTCACGTGGGGGCAGAGACCAATTGGGCCTCGGATGCCCCCCCCAAGGCGGGGAGGAGGAGGACGGACACGGACAGGGCCAGCCTACTGTCTGTCCGCCGCCCGCTGCCGTGCGAAAGAGTTCCTGGGCGCCTACTATCACAGCTGCCCCACCTGGGCTGCCGGAGCCTGCCCACCCTGAACCCGGCGCCCAGTGTCCACCCACACCCAGCGAGAGAGCTCTCCTTCCGCTCTGTAAGTGAGGGGCCTGCGTCCAGGCCTCTAAGGGTCAACCTCCCTCCTCAGTGCCTCCTTACAGCCCTGGGCCGGCCATCGCTTGCTTTGCCAAGTGGCCAATGTGCACTGCTCTGGTAGAGACAAGGTCTACGTCTCCCCAGACCCCCTTTCCCATTATGAAAAACCTCCTCTTCCCTCCGGCTGCTGATGGGAGGAGCTAGGGCCTATGGCGACAGACTCTATGGGGTCCCTTGTTGTCCCTGTGTCCTGGCGTGGTGGGTTGTTCTCAAGGGTGTTTTGATCTGTAAGTGTCTTGAGGGTCTCTGGGCCTACTTTGTGGACTCTGGGTCTCCCTGTCTGGTGGGTGTGGGGGGGGGGATTCTCTGATGTGTGTGTGTGTGTGTGTGTGTGTGTGTTGTGTGTGTGTGTGTCTGCGTTCTGTAGCTGGGCCAGGGTTTCCTGAGTGAAGAAAAGGCTGAGTCCCAGTGTGGGACTGGGGGACTAGTGCAGTGAGGCCCTGAACTCTGGGCCTGAGCTAGAGGAGCCGGGAGGAGGGGGCTAAGATGGAGGAGGACGGAACTGCTGTCTGGGAGCCCAGCCCCCACCCCCTAGGCCCTGGCCCAGACCTCTGCCCGCCTGCTGCGGCCTCCTGGCACTGACCAGGAGCTCCAGCAGGTGGGCACTACCCTGCAGATGCCCCCTGGGAGCCCGGCCTCCCCCACTCCCCTGCAGCGGTGGGCTGGGGGCTTCTTTTTTCCCCTACGGGGGTGGAACCCTGAGCCCACGCACGAAGCCCCTGCCCGTCACGCCCCCCATCCCAGGCCCACTGGCCAGGGGCAGGGAGCTGCTGGAGAAGCACGAGTAGCCCCGCCTCTGGCTGCCGGCCGCACATGCGCGCTGTCCGGGGGCTTGGGTAAGGGGCTTTTCCACTCCCTCTGGTCTGGTTCTCTCCACCCTCCCCACCGAGGGTCGCCCAAGGAGGCTCACGGCACCGCAGACTTTTTCACTTTACATGTGGAGAAACTGAGGCTCAGAAGGGCGTCTTGGCTGGCATAGGAGGCGGCAGATTCTGGGATCAGGGGGGGTCTTTGGGCCTGGGTTGGCAGCCCCAGGCGTCAGGCTCAGAGGGAGGCTCGTCCCCGTGGGTACCCAGGGGCGGGGGGGGGACCCGCAGGCCTCTCCCCTGCCCTCTGCCTCAGTGGCTTCATCTGGAAAGCCAGGAGGGGCCCAGTTGGACGTCCTCAGCCCCCAGTGGCTCTGCCCATGGCGGCCCCGGGACCAAGTTGTCCTCGAGGCTCCCTGACTCCGCCCTCCGCCCAGCGAGAGCTCCGTGGGGTGCAGGGGTGCCGCTCCCCTCCCCGCGCCACCCGCCCAGCTCCCATTCTCCCGGCAGCGATTTGGTGCTCACCAGACCTTGGAATCTGGCGAGGTGGGCCGACGCGATCCCCCTTTCCAGCCGGGCGGAGAGGGGCTTCGCCCCGCCAGGGTGTGTGTGGGGGGGTCCGCGGGAACGCCGGCCACCGGCCCACTTCGCAGACGGGGAAACTGAGGGCTGGAGGGGGGGCCTGGCGCCTGAGGGAGGAAACGCGGCAGGGTCCACGCAGCGCCCCGGGGAGCCAGACCCCGCTTCCACGCCACACAACGACCCGCGGCCCTCGGTGGTCCTGGCCGGGCCCGGGGCTGGGCTTGCGGACCGGAGCTCGCCTCCCCCTCCGCGGGCGCGCGGCCCTGGGGCCCCGCACCTGCCTGGGTTAGGGGGCGTTCGGGTCCCCCGGGTTCCGTCCCCTCCTCACTCGCGGGCTGCGGTCCGGGCCTGGGGTGGGAAGGAGAGAGTTGGGGGTGAAGACGGGAGCGGGCTGTGGGGAGGGCGCGGGCTGGGGGGCGCGGGC